ATTGTATTTTTTAACTGGTTGTATTCACCAGAACGTTCGACAGAGTACTTGAACAATGCTTTTCACCCAGTGTGACATGCCCTAACTCCAGAAACACAATATATTTCAGAGGATAGTAGTGAAATCGAAAAACATCACATAATCAATCGCATCAGCGATGTTTACAACTCCCGCTCAGCGGAGTGATCGTTTGGTAACTGAGTCCAGGAGAACACTGCATACCACTCCGCGCTCAAATACCAACCATATCAGAATCAAGGTGCGTGAAGCCTCCCTGAATGTATCTCTCGTTAACTGCTGCCCAATCAACAACCTGTGGAGTCGCGATTGAAACCAGAGAACAGCTCTGCCGTAGTTTACGTTCCACCAAGCATCGATGTATGCACGCCTATTGTTCTTGTACTTGAGATAATAGGCATGTTCCCACACGTCCAAGCCCAGCAGAGGAACCATGTCAGCTAAATGAAGGAGCTCATATGAACGAGGCGGTGCACATAACTCACGTGAAATCATCTGTGGAGTATCCTGATTCTGAGTTGATAGTATCTGGGAGCAGAAAATCCCGAGCATCATAATCATCTAGTGTGCGAAAATGTGCACATGGTGAACTACATGTGTAGGTAACAATATAAAAATTCTGAGAGATTATTACTTGTTATTATACACTTCTACCCAAAATCACGTGTGAATTTCCATAATATAGTGTGGAGATTCCCAAGCTCAGGTGAGGAAATCGAACTAAATCCTGTCATCACCTTGAGCGTGTTGTCCTCCGTAGAGGTATCCACCACCAGCCATACCCACCCAGCTCCAAAACGACCCTCAGCGAGGCTCGTGAAGCCCGACACGAACTTTGAGAATGATCCGAAATCTCTAAAATGATGACATCGAGAGCCTCGCAGGCTATTCAACTTACTGATCTATTGCCCTTCTGATGGCTCCTTCGGGTTCTCCTCCACCATCCTTAGACATGCTAGCGAAGTAAAGCTCGTGATTCACATACTGTTGTGATGAATGCGACGTCGAGGCCCATTGATTCTATCATTACCCCTCCACCGTTGTTCCTTATTTTATCCCTCAAAGACACAGGGACTTCGTCTAACTGAACAGGTGTGGCAATTCGAAGGACCTACGGTGGTACACCTACCTTGGTAAGGAGCCCATCTACTCCTAGTTTCACGAGGTGTTTGTATTCTGGCATTGACCGTAGCTGACGGGCAGCCGACGAGAACTGAATCGAAGGTGTTGAAGAACAGCAGTGATGCTACCACCTTATCAGCATACGCCTTGTAATGCCCTACATGGTGTACACGCATAGTCTCAGCATCTATGTAACTGCCAATGTAAACTGTCTACAGTACATTCATTCCGCACACTTACGGTTCTAAAGCATCGTAGTCATAACCTAGTGGGGTCGGCTCGTACGGCTGTGAAAACACACAGTGCAAGGTGATGACTACCAGCACCATCGATGACCACGATGATTTCATCATGAAGAAGGATATAGAATATTACTACTGACTTCCCAAATTGACCCCCATCCATCGAGTCTAGCTATACTAACAACGCAAGCATTGATAGAGTATAGGCGTCAGCATTGATAATGTAGGAGCCCCTAAGCTGAATAGTGGACAGAGCGAATGAATAACAGCTCAAGCAGTGAGATCAGAATGAGCGAGAAGCGATCAATGCCGGGGAAGGAAGGACCTCAATCTTCTCCCCTGCATATTTAGTTCTACGACAGTCACCTCAGTATACTTCCTATAATTACTCATTGTTCTGTTCAACCGAATACGAATTGTGTTCTGAACCTTGTGGCCACCATCTCTGCGCAATTGATATGATATAAGCATTATTAATGCATACAGAACCTTACAGCCATGAAGGACGCTCAAACTGAATGGTCGCATGCGGAGAGCTCAGTGGCTGTGGGTCAAGGCAGTGCTCAGTCTTTAACACCAAATGAGTCAATTCTCCCATACGTTGCGATGGCTGAATGAGACCAGGGACGGTTACTGAACAGGATAACGATTTTGAGGAGATCAAGGACGTGATAGCTGGGGCAAGCTCAGTAAAATGGTGAATTGTTACAAAGTGGCGTAACAAAAGTGCCAAACGAATAGCGCTGTGTCAAGGTATGAATGCAAGTGCAAGAAGTTGAAGTAGAGCCCAACTTGTAGATAACGCAAACAGACCTTGAATCTTAGAGTACACTTCCAGTGCACAGTAGATACGATAGACCGTAATGCTTACGACATTCCGCACTCACTTATGAGTAGTGATCT